GGGGGGGGGGGGTTCTAGAAGATGATGGGTCCCGGTGACGTCTCAGTATCATGTCTTACGGATCCACGTATCGTGTCTTGCCTATCCTTCTAGGCACAAAAACAGAAAACTTGTACCAGGCGTTGCTTGCCCAAGGATTTTCAACCTCAGTTCCAGAACATGCAGCTCTAATTGAATGTCGTCGTGGCACAGCCCGAGCACCAGCATGAAGCTTTGCTCGAGGTAGACTCGCTCGGGCAAGTCTGCCGCGACTTCCAAGTCTGAGCGTGTTAGGGCTGTTTGAAAATGCTATTTGGCTTAGCGAGCTTCAGAAGCCGCATGTACAGCTCCAGCCGCTGCGACAGTGTTTGGCTGCTTACCTAACAGGGATGTCCTGGCGATGCTTCACGGCAGCTTTGCGCCACCTACATGCGGTGGTGATGGACTCGCCGTAGGCAAGCAGACAGAGTCGATCGATACTGGTTGAACTTTAAGCCCATGCAAATCCGATCGACCCTGCGCCGGCTGTGCTAATGGTTTTACATTCCGCGGTGTTTCAGGATGCCTCGTCCTCAGCAATCAAGTAACGAGCCACATCCGTTCCGCTGCTTGCTACTGAACGGGAAAGTGCGGGCCAGTATGCGAGGTACAAGTAGAATGCATCTTCGCAAGCACATCTTGACTGCTCGCCTCGCAGGCATCTGAGCGGGTAAGTACTCCTAGCATCGAGGGTCCCTTCCAGCTGAATCAAAGTGAGGAGGCCAGGCTTCCCCAGTTCCCAGCAGTGTGGATGCCTACAGCAGATGCAGCCTCTGTAGAACTGGTGCAGGTGCCTCTTGTTTGCTTTCAGTTCAAGATGTCTCACTTCGTTTGCAAGGCGCGGCTTGCTGTCATGCGACGTGCGGTGAGATTGCTTGGGGATTTCACAGCTGCCACAGCAAGGCCTTCCTGGCTGCTGGAGCCGACGAAGGCCTTCTTGCAGTGACCAAGCGACTTCTTTGACCGAGCTCGCAGTCGGCAAGACCAAGGCACGCGCCATCTGAAGCTTCAAACCATATTCGAGGACAACCGGCAGGGGCTCGTCGAAGAGCACAGGCAGAGCTTAAGCGAGTCTCAGCACAGCCTGTGACGCAGCATAAGACTTAAGGCTGTTAAGGGTATTCGACTGCAACTCCTGAGGTTGCCTTGCCATGCCTTTTGCAGGTATTTCATGGCAAACGAGTGGAACTCGAGCAAAGCGTGCCCGATGCAAGTGTGCTTATGATGCAACGCCTTCAATGCTTGTTTACAGACCACAGACCACGAGGCACAGGATATGAACTAAGCTTGGGCGCCCCGGCCGCGAAATCTGCGCGGTGAACTGAGTTGGCTTGCGAGCATTGGCTCAACTCCAGCTCACGACAGCAAGGCAGTTCCTTCAAGATGCTTTGGCCAGTAGAGCTTCATGAGATGGCATTGCTCTTGCGTTTGACTTCCAGTAGACCGGGTGTACCACGTGCTGCATGCAGCCGCATCACGTGGAGTGCACGAGCACTTCGTATCTCAACACAACCTCTCCTGAAAGTTGCTAATGCTTGGAATGTGGCTAGTTCGTCATGACATGAAATTGTGTTCGACGACATTTGCCGATGTTCAAATTCCCTGCGGGCACTGACGCGCAGTCGCTGCAGACGTCCGCAGCAGACACTGGGAACAGAATAGGGATGGTGAAGCCTAGCCTGAAGTGCGCGTACAGTAGCCAATGCCAAGGATCTGAAGAATGTGGTGGACTCGATCCTTGCTTCAATTGCCTGAGATGTCCTGGTTCGAGTGTGCTGCCGTATTCTTTGGAAATCTTCCCGACTTCGCATTACTGTCGGTCAACGAGACTTAAGGAACGCCTCGGGGGAAGTGTCAGCAGATGACGAACCCTACACCGGTTCAGAGATTCTCCCGCTGGACACTTGACTGGGACCATGCGCCAAGAGAAAAGGTCGGGTGAGAGCTGCCGCTTTGCTGCAAGGATGCATCCACTGCCGCGAGACTTTCATCCATTCCGTATCCGGGTCTGGTCCTGCAGCTGCAAGCAGAGGAGGCAGACTTTCAGCACACAAGCTGGACTCAATGGAGCTCCAAGAAACCTAAGCCATCCATGGCCTCGATGCTCGCAGGAACTGGACCTGCTGCTCTCAGCACTTGGCAGAAGGCACACGTGTGAGAAACATTCTTGGTGACTGTTGATGCTGGTCTCAAGCTTCGTCAGATGGGTCGTGCTGGAGCTCGGGGCGGCTTGGTCGGCTGCCTGCACGGCAATGCGTGCCGAGTTTGAGGCGAAATCAGCTTTATGGAGATTTAAGCCTTTTAAGCAGTCACTCTATGCCTGCTCGAAGGTCTTGGCGAAGGCATACCCGACATGGGTGTTCTTGCGTGCCCAGGCTTGATTTCCTGGCGCAGCTGTGCTGTGGAGTATGGGTTTTCGACCTTCTCAGGTGCGGACATCAACCAACTTCCTGGAGTTGCCCGGCGCTGGGCAGCCACGCTCGACACTTGGGTCTCTTCCGTGTCTCGGCTGTTGCCTCGCGAGCATAGGGTGACCACTCATCTTCAAAGGCGAGTGCCGTGCTACATCTTCTTCTGGAAAGGTGTGGAGGACACTTGTGCACTTGCGCCTGTGGCTCCGTGAATTCCCGGCATGAAGGTCTCCAGACCGAAGGGTCATACTTGTGAACCTGCCTGCAGCCTGTACAGCTCAAGCGCGCTGCACTTTACTTTGACGCCTTGGCAGCCATGGGCGGGCCGCCTCCAGCCGGAGCGTTGTTGGGAGCGCATCTTAAGCTCGTCAAGGAGTTTGTTTCCGCGACACTTAAGACTTCAGCAGACTCTTCTCGAGAGAAAGGTAGAAGGTTCAGCATCCGGTCTCCCAAGCCATGATTTGGAGCTGAAGGTATACCGGATTGGGAGCTATCTTGTCCGTCTTTTTCGGACGCACGCCGGGTCAACTGCCACAAGACATTGTTGCGGAGATGTGGTCAACATTTGTGGTGCTCGGCTTGTGGTCGGCCACGTACAGCGTGCCACAGCAGCATCAAGCTCGTGAGAAGCAAAGAGCAGACTCGAGTCCCTGGCTGTAGCTCTTGGCAGGTCTATGATGTGATGGGCGTCGGCGTCGCCAAGCAGAAGCACGACTTGCACAAGATGTCGCTGAAAGACCGCCCCACTACGGAACCAGAGGAAGTAAAGCTGGCAGACCGGGCTCAGATGAACCAGGTAAGGCTTCGGCAGTAGCAGGTAGCAGAGAAATTCGATTGAAGCTCCACAGCAACCCCCCCCCCCAGGTTGAACAGGTGACGCCATTCTTTGCTGGTGCGCTGATGTTCGGCTTCCTCGTGCCTAGGTCCCCCAGTGGTATCCTTTGACCTTTTGTTTGGGGTTCCTTAGGTTGTCTAAACGAAGGGAAAAAGGTTCCTTTCTCTTCAGGGGATGCTGGGGAACCAAGGTGAATGGCAAAGTCGGGGGCATTCTATCCCTGATCTACTTCACGTTGCGCAGGCTCTACTGCAGCACCTACCGAGCTTCAGTTGGGAAGTCACTGGAGGGCGCTGGCCTCATCAAGTACACGGTCCCATGCTACTTCATTCTCAACGGCGTGTGCCCCAGTCCAAGTCGATAGTCGCGGCATTTCCAGCACGGCTCTGGAGGCTTATTCCTCATTTCATTCCCGAAACGTCGCCTGGCCTGGGGTCTATCACTGGGAGACACTAGAAAGGCTCCGGCCAAAAAGTGGAACAGCATGTTTTCCGCAATATGGTCAGCGCCCAGGTCGTTTCTGCGTGCAAGCACTGAACTTACCGATGACGATATAGCATTTGTGATGAACGCGTCAGCTTTTGGCCCGATGAGCTCAACGAGTCTCAACGAGGAGCGCAATGCACAGCTACCGGTAAAGATGAAGCCTGATTGGCGCTTGATCTCGGATTCAATGTTAGGCCGATGTTCCGTTCCTTTTGCCGATCGATCCGTGCTCGTTGTGTGTATGTCTGTCGTGGTGTCGGGCATCCCCTTCGTGTCCAGTGAGCACTTAGGCAGATGTAGGTTTAGAGTTCTATTGATACTGCTGTATTCTGGTCTGCCACCGCGCTGCACTTTGAATGCAGAGATTGTGTTGAGTCCTTGTGGTTTCGATTGCGGAGGGATCTCGAAACGTAAATGGTACGACAACCGACGAAGGACCCTGCAATCTGCTGGTAGTGCGTGTGATCTTGTGGCATTTTCGGTCGGAAGCATCCCTGCAATCATCAGATAGCTTGCTGGATTTCTTTGCCTTTGCGGCTTGTCTGGTCCGGACTTCTGCCAGACGACTGAGGCATGAACATGGCTGTCGTCGTTCACATGGCCCGGTATGCGCTGGGACTCTGAATCTGCCGTGCTCTCACAAAAGCACGGCTTGTTCCATCGGTTCTCACCCCATCTCGAAACAAGAAGCCTTGCGCCACGTGCTTGCTGCAGAATTTCATGTGTGAAGACATATGCACTGCAGCAAGGGCTCAGTAAGGGTCTGTAAGTGAATGCAGCGGAGCAGAAAAGATGCGAAGCACTATTACATGCGCATTTGTCTCCACTTGGTCGAGTGCAAGCAATACTGTCAGAGGAGACTCAGTTTGCCGGTGCATCTGGCAGAAAGCTAGATCCCCAGAGTGATTGCAACTAGCTCTTTCAGCTTCCGATTCAGATACTGCCAGTTGATATCACCCCGGTCAGGCTACGTGAAGTCCTGGAGGATTGCTCATTGCTTGGTCCAGCCCCCGCATCAGTCGCGACCTCAAAGTTGTAAAGAAGTACCTTCCTCTATATCAAGATCATGAGCATCTCGTGAGACTCTGTGGATTAACATGCTAGAGTAGGCACGTGCGATGCAAGTGCATGCCTGATAGCATCAATATCATGTTTAAAGAGGTGTAGTCAACAGGTTCATGGTTGCTGCATAGACTTATATAGGCTTGTTTTTTCATATCTTTTTCGCACGTGTCATGCACGACGTGGTCAAGCAGTCAAGCCACGCTGCATTGCCAGGCACATGCGGATCCAGCTGGGCGTGTCAAAGACTGGAAGATGCCTGCAAAACAGGTGGGGACTTCTATATGCCATCCACAGTACTGATTCCCGCAAGTCTGAGCAGTAGCCGTAGCCAATCTCTGTGCCCGGCCCAAGTATCTTGCCCTGCTTGGCCAAGATTGGCATTCATGTCCGAATCGCCAAAATGACTTGTTGCGATCTTTCCGCCCGAAGGTTCGTGAACCCGGCATGCAAAGCGGCCGATGACGAGCTGCGCCTGCACATCAGAAAAAGCTGCGAAGATGCCAGAAGCTCCCAGCGCTTGTTGCAACCGGCATGTTTGCACATGATGGCCGCAGGTAGCAGCACACTGCTAGAATTTCGCCTCCCATCATCTGGAAGAGGAGAGTCCATGCAGACATTGATTGCGGAGTATCCACCCTGTATCGCAGTGGTAGTTGCTTTTCACTGTATAATCTCAGACCTCCCATGAGCAACTGGGCGGCGGGGCCGGCGAGCATGGGAAGCCTCGGCTCATCGACTCCACAGCGGCATTGCGCAACCGCTGGCACGGATTTGTCCAATCGCGAAGGACAGGCCCCTAAACGACTTGATGGGGCGCCGTGCGTGCGAAAACACGGCTCGGGTTGCTGCGAAACACCCCATGCCGATGCTGTGTCGGAAGAGTATGCTAAGCGGAAGCTCCAGTTCATCAGTGAGAAGTACGAGGAGCTCAGGAAGCTCCACCACGAGCATGCAGCTGCGGAAGCTCGCAGCACAGAGGCGACGCTCAACAGCCTAAAAGCAGAAGCTCGCGCGCTTTCTGGGCAAGTGGACGATGCCACAGGCCGGAGATGTGTTTCGCCAAGGCCTCGCGTTAACCGTCTGATTGGTTTTCAAGACGCCTGACCCATCATCAGGCGTGGAGGAGCGCATTCAGGCACAGCGTGTGGAAGCTGAAGCGAAGCGAAGCGCTGCCGCCTGGCGTTTGCAGTTGGTGCAGTCAGTGCTGAGACTACGGGAAGTGCAGGACCGGCTTCATGAAGCGACGGTGTTTGCGAAGCGAGGGATGGCACACAAACGCTCTCTTGCAGCCATGTAATGGACATGAAAGGGTTTGGCCTTTGGTTTGCTCTCATGCTGACTTTCATGCGTGACGGTGTGGCTTCTAGTTAAATCAGGCGCGCGGCTGTGTGATGTCCAACTGTCAGTTGGTTTGGTGTTGGGCTTCGAGTTACTTCGTACACGGACTGGCTTCTGGTGGAAATGGCACTCCCGCAGCTTGTAATCCCGCTCGTCTTAGAGGCCTTGTCTCTCCCTGCATAAAATATATTCGGTGTACATATCAACAAAGACGTGCGGATGCACCGACCCATTCTAATGTAGACGTGCTGTGAAACGTGTCCTGCGTGCCCGCACACCGACTCAACACACCGTACCAATCTAAATCTAAGCATCATGTTAACCTTGCATCAATATATAAAGACAAGGGGTCGCGCGAGCTCGGCTTCTTTGCATGCAGCCCATACCTTCGTTTATGGAAATGGCCCTGAAGGTTGCGGACTTGCAGCAGGTGCTGCCAGCCTCGAGTCCGGGCCGACAGGCGTCGGAGTCTGCGGTGTGGCAGGATGACCGAGGTCGTCTCGAAGCCCGAAGGCTGAGGCCTCTGAGGCCATGCGAGGAGCCCGAGGCGGAATGCCAGGCGGAGACGGCCCTTTCTCCGACAAGGAGCTCTGAGAGAGACGTCCAGGCCACTGACTTTGAACTGAGGCTGAGAAACAGACAAATGGCTGTGGGCCCCTTCGTCTCTCAGGTCGAAACGCTATGCGCAAGACTCGCAAAAACTTCCAGGGAAGTGGAAGGACGGCCCGAGACTTACCGCTTTCCAGCTTTGCGGAGGCCCGCCCAAGCGCTGAGGCTTGTGCTGGGCTCTTTGACTCCTAAGATCTGCCAAGGATCGGACGACTACGAAGCAGCAAGAGGCCTTCTTCATATGACGCGAGTGTGGAGAATCGAGACACGAACGTGGCACAGGATGGCAGAGTTGATCTGCAGACGACAGCAAACAGCTCAGAAGCAGGCACAAGATGGCACAAGCATGCTGAGCATGGCAACCGACGATCGTCGCCCACATCGACAGGCATTTGCGGCCTCTGCTGCGGCTGAACTGCTCCGTGAGGCGGAGGCCGCGCAGGAAGCGGTAGACGATGACCAGGCCGTCTCGAACTTCTCGATTTGCACTGCTCCTTGCGGATCATAGTCATAACTGTTACTGCAAGGAGCCGCTGCAGGGCCCTGGGGCAGCGCATCAGCAAGGCTCCAGCTCCAGGCTTTGGACAAGAATGACCTGGCCAATGCTTGCCTGGCAGATCCTCTTCCTCTTCATTCACCGGTCCGCTGCGTGGGGCCCTTGAACCCGCATCTCTAAATACAAAGAGCTTTGGTTCTCGCTGCCCGACCTCTGCTGTACTGCGGATGTCGGACCTTTCGGGGAACGTTCCGATGTGCAGGGTTTCGCGCCTTCCTCGCCGAGTCAAGCACAGGCCTCGAAGACACAGGCCACACTCTGAGACAGTCGTGAGCGTGCTTCGGCAGGCACGAGAGGAGAAGGAGCTATCTGAGACTGTGAAGCCTCCCAAGCTGGGCACCAAGACGCCGGGATTGTTGAAGCCATGATGTGCGGCAATCAAGAAATCAAGGCCTTCCAAGTCTGTCCAAGCGCTGCCGGAGATGTGGTCGCTTGTGCTGGAGGAGGCCTCCGTAAAGAAGCGACAGGGATCAAACGGGGCTGAGACTTCCTGCCGCAAGTGCTGTTTCTGTGTGCGGTTTGAAAGCTCCGCCAGATTGGCCGTGCCTCTCAGCGGCTGGATTGGGCAGAGCGACACGGCTCCATGGCTCCGTCGCCCGGCTCTCCCTCCGAGGCCTATCTTGGCTTCGCTTCCGCCAGATTTGAGCTTCTGGCAGACCTCTGCCAGGCCTGCGCCGAGTGCAACGACACGGCTTCCGAGCGCATCTGGCAGCAGCGACCTTTAAAGATCTGTGAAGATTCAGCATCTCAGGATGCCATGTCTCTCTTGCTAGTCTTTGCTGCCTCAGATACTACAGGTCAGATGCGGAAGTGTCGCAACCAGCCAGCATGATGGAGGTGGGCACTACTGTACGGCGGTACCACTGAGTTGCACGGCATGCGGCTGTTCATGGTTGCTTCGATTTCGTTGATGGAATCTTATTGTCGCCAGCTGATTCTCGCTGCAGCCGGGCCAGGCCGTGCCGCAGCATCTCCGCGCTGGCTCTCCGTCAGCTTGGGACGAGGTCGAGGAATGCACTTTGCTTTTGCCGGTTTCTGTTTTCATTCAAGCATCTTGGTGCTCAGGAATCCTCGACCTCAGCCTCCGAGGCCTCCCAGGATCACTTCGCCATCGGCGAGGCCTACAGGCCCATGCTTTGGCAGGTGAGCGCGGAGCCAATGCGAGTGGTGTCCAGATGTGTCCAGAGGCCGAATCCGACGGATAGAATCGACCTGGCGCTGGCAGCCTTTCTGCGACATCGGCGAAACCGCCTGCGCAGGCACTGGAACTACAACTGATGGGGGCTTTGATCCACATGAAATACTGTTACTGATTCCAGTACTGCATGATCCAACGGTTGTCAGGGCTGCACAGCTTTCCTGCGAACAGACGACATTCCATTTCGCGTCGAACATCGCTTCTGAAGGTCCCTCTTTTCCAGACTTGCACATGGGTTGTACCGCGTCTTGACTGCACAGGCCAAACTGGAAACCGCCACGTGCCCGATAAGTTACTGGTAAGCTGCTAAGGCTACGGCACCCGACGAGCTCTTCTGCGCTTGGCCCTCTGCGGCCGAGAGCTGGAAGCAAAAGAGGCCGGGTCTTGTGGGCTTGCTGTGCTTGATTTCATGCGGGGGATTGCCGCCATCATACTTTCGTAGTCTAGACAGGCAACCGACAGCGACTCCGATGCCTGGGAGCCACTGGAGGAGTCGATGTGCTTTAACGGTCATGCAGCCGCCATGTGCGTGCCAGCACATGAGGCCCCTCCTTTTGCTGCAGGAGTTTGCACGCCGTGTCGAGCGTGAGCAGAGCCGGCTTCTCCGACGAGCACGCGAGCGTGCAAAGGCCAGAAGTTATTTTGCGAGAACCCATTGGCAGAAGCCTGCCGCAATGTTGATTCTGAGGTGAGGCGATGAGGTGAATGCATTGAAAACACTTAAGATTTGCAGTTCAGGATGCGTGTACTCGTGTGTGTTTGTGTGTTTGGTTGGCTGGCTGGTTGGTTGATTGGTTGGTTGATCTATTTTTTGGCCTGTGGGCAGAACGGAGAAGCGCTTCCCTGGTGCGTCGTGGACATAGCTGAGCTCTGGCGCGTCTGGCCTGGCAGGTCCTGCAAAAGACGCCAGCACGAAGCTGACATGTTGGCCGAAGTTGTTCAGAAGACTGCCCAGTGTAATTGCAGCCCTCGGCAGCTGCCCCACATTCCGAACAATCCCGCCTAGGGGCAGCAGTCCTAATTTACAGGGCAACAGCTACAAACTTGTATGTTGTCCAGTTAATGCTCTGCATCGTTGCGGGCAGTGGTGCTGGTAACTGCTGGAAATCTGCAAGTTTGCCTAGCTCATCTGTGCAGAACGAAACTTACACTCACCAGAGAGTGCGCAGTGCCCCGATAGTGAGATTGTCAACTGCAGCAGATACCAATTCGAAAGATTAGCTGCATATTCAGCTTGTCGACCCTGCTCCAAAAAGCGACATTGGCAAAGTGCCACTAGTAGGTGCAAGAACAGTGTGCTTTGGGAATCGGATGTCGCCCCCTGCTTTTTTCCGCGCAGAGAGATTGCAGTCAGAGTCGCGGGCCGAAAGACAGGAGACGGCGTTCTCGAAGTTCTACCAGTAGTTTGTAAGCTCGGACTCGGACTGCAAGTTTCAAACGCGAGGCAGAGGGCAAAATCCCAGTTGAAAGCAGGCCACAATGTGGGCTAAAAAGGGTGATGCAATGTTCCGCTCTAGCGACTTGCTGTTCTCCTCTGATGGCCCTGCACTACTCATCCTGCAAACCTCGTTCACCACGTATGCTGCAGTGTATCCTGCCATGATGGTCAGCAGAACCTCCCATGAACTGTTTTTTTTTCGGGTGGAGATCTTTGGAATCATCTTCATTGTTTACCAAGTCGCCCAGACTTCAAACTTCTGACGTTCGGGCCCAAGCCGGGCGCCTGAGCCAGGGCCAGGGCCGGGCAGCCATAGGCAGCCAGGCAGAAGGAAAACATCTCCAGAGGCTCTACCAAACCCACCACCGGCCCGCCCGGGCAGGGCAAGCGGCAACATGGTTGTTTGGCCGGAACGCGAATAAACTGCGGCAACTTTAAGTGAGAAACGTTGAACGCGGCCCCCTGAAGGAATATGGATAGATAAATATAGTTTCTATCCGCAAGATGCCGGACTGAGATCACAGTGCTGGGTTCCAGGTACACGCGCCTGAAGTGCGGGTCCAGCGACCGAGGACGAACCAACGCCAAAGCCACAGAGGGGCACCCCTTGTATGACCAGACATTCATTGGCGTAGCGTTGGATACCGTGAGCAAGGTCTTCACGTTGGAGTACGACCTGCTGTGCCCTGTGGCCTTGAAACATTCTGCCGGAGACCTCCTGAGTTGCCCAGTCCAGTGCAGCTTGTACTCAGCACTGGATGTTGCTGGCAAGCTGCTTGCTGGATACAGCCCCTCGAATCGGTCGGCTGGTGCTGAATCTACTTGGAATGTGGAGCTAAGGCGTGCTTCTGCTAAACTTCGTCCTGCGGATGTGGTACACCTCCATGGTTGCTTGCGTCGGAACCTTACTGCAGGGACCATGCTGGCAATCATCTGCATTCATCATCGACTTGTCCGAGAAATTTGCACAGGCCATTGAAACGTTCTGCGTCTGGCACGGCGCCAGGTCATGCACATCGTCGCGCCACGCGATCTACCTTTCGCCACCCATTCCATGATTGTTGCTGGAGACTGAGCCGCTGAACGTAATTGCATGCATCGGGGATTGGGCGATGCCAAGCTGGCATGTCATGTGGACACAGCATAACGAGCATGATCTACTCGCAGTGGTTTGATTTCAAGGATGCCTCCCTCAAGTCTTCAGCCGGATGCCTTCAAATGTCGGTCCACTGAGGAGAACACCTTGACGGTCTCGGTACGGGAGGAAGATACTGGAATACTGAAGGAGGCCCTGATGAATGTCCGTCTGACCAACCTGGAGCTATGCTTTTGAGTGGAAAGGCTTGCCCAATCTGCCTGGAGTGCTTTCAAGTCGGTGACAAGGTGGGCGGTGTAGCAGTGCTCTTGCTTCAGGCTGGTGTTCTTTCGGTGTTGGCTGAATCGGAATATGGCAGATGACGAGTTTCTGGCACATGTTGTGGTCAAGTTCTTGCGCCCTGCCATGCCCTGCTTTGCCCTGCCCTCGTGCTGTTGTTGATCTGAGGGTTTGTGCCTGCTAGGTGCGAAGACTGCCCTGCATGCACCTCTTCCACGTTGTGGGCGCCAAGCCAAGCAACGTGCAAGGGTTTTGGAGAATCGTGACAGCACCATGGCCGTGGTCGTGCCTTGCTCATACTCGTCCAATACTTCTTGCCTCCTTTGACTGTGTCTCGTTTGCGCAAGGTGGCGAGTCTTCACACTGCCAGGGGCGGCACTGCAACATCGATAGGCAGCATCACACGGCGAAGTCGACGGTGCCTGCAGTTGTGAAGCTTCTCTTCCAATCCAGGCATCTGGTCCTGGACAAACAATGTCCGGTCTGCAAAACACCTATCGATGTCATGGAGCGCCCATTGAGAACACGCCTGAACATGCTGAAAGACTTGTTGCTGTCTCCAGCTTTCTGAACAGGAGCGGATGGAGCGTGAGAGTCAGCGGGAGGCTCAGGCGGGGTGGCTTTGGTGTGCCCTCAGCCGTGAGCCCGCAGCACAAAAAAAGAGTCGCCGTTGGCAGGCGAACTCAGCGAACTCCCAAGCCTCTCAGCCAGATGCAGGCAGAGACCCGACCTTCTGGACATTTCTGGACTTAAGTAAGGAAGAGGAGAGTCGAACGACAGACCATGGTGCCACCATGGTGCTTGCATGAGGCAGAAGTCATCGAGCATTAGCACATCTCACCATGCTTACTGCATTGAGCAAGCAAGTCATGTTGTTGCTGCCAAAGAGCCACGAAGCTGCGGGCCAATATGAAAAGGGGGCAGCGGAACCCAATCCGCTTTCAGTATACTTGCAACGGCTTCCGCCATGATTGTTCGGGCTTTCTCGTTCAACCGAAAGGACGCTGCAAGTTCAATCTGATCCAAATTCTCTTCTTGACGTTGAACCCAAACATCTGCCTGGCTTGTCGAACAATCCTACAAATGTCAGACCTGGAGCTCATGACTGATGCCTCATATCGAGCGTTAGCGAGGCGCAGAAGGTCTTTCTGTGGACAGGCCGGCGGCCGCTCAGATTGAACTAAGCCTTAAGCTCTGTACAGGGCCAGAGTCTTGAAGATAACCTACTGACTGAACTTCGGGTTGTGCCGCCATTGAAATTGAATTATGAATCACAGGATGGCGGGCACACCTCGCAGGGAGCACCGGGCCGTTGAGTTAACCGTTTCCGCTTTGCCAAGGCGGAAGAGCCGCAAATACAAGCACCGGAAGCGCCCGACACACAGAGCCGAGGGAGTCAGCCGGCCCAACTCATTCAAAGGCAACCCGTGTCTCTTTCCAAATTCGCTGCTTACCCTGGCCAAGGCCAGCGGCTGCAGGCCAGACATCGGAGGAGGCAGCTGGCGGAGTCGTGACCTGAAGTGGAGCAGTTTCGGCTCTATCAAACAGGCCGACACAAGTGGAAACCGTTCCCTGGAGCCTGCGCTGCAAGCTGAGATATCGGCTCTAGCTCAGCACTGCAGCATGATGAATTGAATCAGCTGGATCGATTCGCAGCTTCAATAACTTATTGCCACTTATTGCTGATTGTGAGAGGCTCTCCCCAGAGCGCTTGCCGGAGCAGGCTCCTTCAGCTTAAACGCTTGCTGCGTTGATGCTTCTGATTCTGATGCCCTGTTCGACATATCGGTACTGCTACGAGGGCATGCGGATCGGTGCAGCTATGCCCCGATCACAGATCGAAGCATGTGTCCCGTTGATTGCTTTCGCGTGCAGGCAGCAGAGCTCGAGCGAGTTGTCCGAAGCCTTCAGCGCGCAGTCTCAGCTGTTTGATGGTTAATGTTCCTGAGAGTGTGCATAATATCATTGTCAGTGTTTTTAGCCTGTCGTAAAAGCCCTCTCGTGCTGCTCTGCAAGTCGACAATGAGGTCAAGATGGCTACAAATTCAGGCTTCTCCCGAGAAAGCTTTCCTTGCTTGCCTTGCCAGCCTTCACTGAGCCTGCCCTGCATGCGGTCGGGCTGTAGGGGCACCCCCCAGAAGGCTCGAAGGCCATTCATTGCTCTAGCGATTCCAGCGACAGGATGTTGTGGCTGGCGTCCAACAGATGCTGTGGCCTCGGTACCCTTGCTCTTGCAGGCCATCAAAGTCTTGAGACGAAGCGGTTCAGGCTTCACTACATCGAGGAGCGGTCATCGCCTGCACAAGCCACAGCTTGTGCGTTTTCAGCCCGGAATGCGCCGCACGCATTTTCCCGGACAGCCGACGACGGATGATGCATACTTCTCAGCCAGCCAGGATAGCCAAACTGCGCTAAACGCAGCACGAAGTGGTGCAAGCAATGTTCAAGGCAGCGGTGTCGAAGTGTTTGGCTCTTGCCTGGGTCGACTTGTTTGACAAGCTGCTAGGGCCGGATGGTGCGGCAGTGGAGACCCGACAGGCGGGGGGCCAAAAGCCTGCCTTGACCGTTTTGAACCTACCGTGTAGGTGGTTGTTGCTGAGATGCAATCCTTGTCTGACCTGACGAAAGGTGGCGCCCTCGCCTCAACCTGAAGAGGCTCATGTTGAAATCGTGGACAGTCCGGCCGCGCCCAGTGCCCCGGGCGGCGCCCCTGACGCAAGACCTGACGAACTGCAAGTGGAGCTCCAGTTCGAGGTGCAGGTGGACGCTGACCCAATAGAGCAAAGGCAGACACCAGAAGCGCCTGAGCCGCTGGAGCAGACAGAGCCAGACCCCCAGCAAGCCTTCAGCCGTGAACAGGAGGGGTTGCCTGCTTCCAGCGAAGGTCCGCAGCGCCAACCAGTCTAGCTGTCTCGGGTGAGGCCAGCACTGATTTGAAGAGATGTCAAAGAAAGCCTTCGTTTGGAACTGGGGCGCGGCGAGTTCGGTTCGAATGCAGCCTCCGAGCCGAGCAGCAACGAAGAAACGTCAGGCCATGTCAGCTCAGCACGTCAGTAAGGTCGTAGCTGTTAGCTACCATGTGCTCAACCTCTACCTGGACGAGTCAACATCGCAGCATTTGCGGCCGCCTTGCACTTGCCATGGCAACGGTCCTCGTCCAGACTTTGGTGGTGCAAGAAGGGAAGGCCAGACTAACTGGAAGAGCTAAATCTTTCGGGATGAAGTCATAAGTCCATGGATCCAAGCAGTGAAATCGCGGCGGCTGAACCGCCCCACGCCATTATTGAAAGGTCCCGCTATGTCCCGCTCAAACTGCCACGAGCGCCGAGGAAGCGCCCCTGCGGCATTGAGCGGGCTGCACGTGTCAGGTGCTCCTTGGACGCTGGAAGCCCGGCTCCGGTGCCTTTGCCGGCCGTGTCACAGCCCTCCTCGGTGCCGCCACAGACCCAGGCTCGAAGCGCGTCTGCTTCAAGCACAGACGCACCATACCTCTGTCGCCTTGCCTTTTCAGGAGTATCGCCAGAAGCCGCAGCGGTTTCAACAGCAGCATCACTGGGAGGTGTTTGGACAGAGTGCGGCAGCTGCCAGTGCAAGAGCATCCGAGCATCCTTGTCCTTGCGAGGTTCTCTGAAGATGACTCGCCTGAGGCGCAGGGGACTATTCAGTTTTCAGGAGTGCCGGAGTGGGCTGGAGGGAGCATGCTTTACGCCCTCCTGCCGTCCAGCCGTTTTCGCAGGAGTTGGACTCCAGGCACGAGTCCGCACAAGCACTGGGCGAGCAGTACATGGAGCATCAGATGCTTTACCGACCCTCGACCTGAGCTTCGTGAACCGACACCCCACCGGATGCAAACCCGTGCGTTTTGCCATGGCATCACTGTTGAAAACATGCTTCTCCCAGCAAGGACTGCAAGCCTCCGAGCAGTTCCAGCTTGCACCCAACGATCGGTTTGAGCCGATTGGATGGTTTGGTCAAGGCACATGGAGAACTAGGTGCTGTCCGCAAGTGCTTCTCTCGTCTCGTCTGTTGCTGATTGACCACGGAAATCGACCCTCGCTGAGCTAGAAGTGCTTTGAGGAAACTAGTAAATGTGTTTGCACCCCTCGACACCTTGCAGGTGAGGTTCCTTTTGATGAGATGCCCGAAGACGACAAGATTTGGTACGACCGAGTGCTGTTCCACGACAACTTGCTGCGCGGGAGCTTCAAATTTCGAGGCCTTTGCTCGAGCCTGCGAGGTGCACATGACATGCGCAAGGGCCGCAAGGGTGCTGCACAGGCACCGCCTTGCTGGAGCACGACCTTGAAGTGGTCTCGCCGGCACAAGGCTCAGGGGTCGTGGCACACTGGCATATACTGGCATCAACTCTCACAAGCGCATACGGAAAGAACGATTCAGGAGGCATTTTCCCCTGCTGTCGCCTTCAGCAGGCCTTTGCCAAACAGATCCTGTCGGGGCGGCCCTGCCCAGTGTGGAGGAGGCCGGAAGGGGCCTGAAGGCCGCAGCGAGGTGCAAAGGGACTTGTGATCGCAGGAGGAGCCGCTGCTGATCTCCAACCCCAGCTGTTCCAAGAGCCGAGCTCTGCAAGAGGCCCCAGGGGGGCCCAGGGCATGGACGGAGCCAGGGCACTCCTCTGCTTATCCCACTCTCCGCTTTGTTCCTTTTTGCGATGTGGAAAGAGACTGACTCAGTCGTGCGATGCGTGGCATTGCCCACGAAGTGGCTGCAAGCTGCAAGCGCTTTTCGGTCGAGAGAAGTGCTCGAGCCTTCGCTCCGGCGATCGTGTCCAAGACATTGCACGACGTTGCCCTTCTCCACATTACTCTCCACCGATTGCGCCCCGCGCTCTCCACTTTACAAAAAGCTTGAGTGGCCCAGCTTTTCTGACCGGTCGCTAGCGATCTGTGGCCATATTAGGGCCTGCGTCGGCGGAGGGAGCTGTGTCCGGGCAGCAGGCTCCCAGCAACTCCAAACATGGATCTGGTGACCGGACACCACTGGCGTGCACTGGCCGTCACTGGCCGTGCCGAGCATCTGCCGGACCACGGCCACATCACCGGAGCTGCCCCGGACCGGCTATGACCGGATGCTGTATGGGAGGCAACGACTTGACTAGTACACTATGGCTATTTTACGCCTAAGCTACCCCCCCGGCGCAAGATTTTGGCAGAGAAGTGTCTGAAAGGAGGTGTTGTCAGAAGTCCGAGTTTGATGACAGAGTTCAACGCTAGCCAACCAGACGAGCTTCGGACAAGGGCAGATGAGTGATGGCAACGAGTGGGTTAGATGGACATTTGACATGTGACGTTCACCCGAGTTGCATCACAGATTTTGCGACAGTTTACGACATGCGATGCCTTAAACGTGGGTACAACTGGGCAGACTGGAGCGGGAGAGGCATTGGATGCGGCAGGCGTGAAGTACCGCGATCGATTCTACTTGCAGGCCCTCGCTTGCTGTTTGCCAAAGCTCATTTTTCACCACATGAGGGGGGCATGTGCTCTAGAGAACTGTAGGTGCAAAAGTTTATTAGTGGTTTCTTAGGTTCCGAAAAAGCTTGGGACTCACGGCGTCGCGGGCAGGCCCCTTTGAGTCTCAGCGAGTTGGAGACCTTGTCGGCTCGCTTGGAGGCCAGACCAGAAGCCAGGACGTGTTGAAGAGTGAACTAAGTGAACACTCCCAGGGAAAGCACTTGTCAGGTGAAGGAGGGATCGGCTGCAGGCTCCATTCAGTTTTTGGATGAGCGCAAGATGCATTCGGAAGCTTCGCAGTTTTTTGAAGGTGCACTATGCCGTGACACCGGCCTTGCAGCTGGACTCAGGATCACCTGTGTGCAGGAGGCGACTCACGAAAGCTTGTCTCCCACATCCGACTTTCAGGTCGAAGCTTCGGCGGAAGAACAAATCCTCGAGGCTCATTGAGCCTGCCTTGAGTTTCTTTGCCGTTGGGTATGGTGGCTCTGGCTAGTACGGCTACGAGTAAGGTCTCTGTTTCGTCTTTCTGTCATCACTTTCGGCATCTGCTCCTTTCTTCGATGGGCAGGCTGTGGCGGACGATGCGGAGCTTCTGCAGCGACCAGTGCCTGCCATAGAGTCCCCGTCTTTGCATGTCCATGTCGTCCATGTCACAGTATCACGCCCAGGTTCTTGTGAAAGGCCGGCGCGCTGCCCTTGGCCAGGAGCCTGGCAGGCTGTGAGGCCTCGATTTTAGCACGTATTGGGCCGTCGTCAGAAGTCGACAGCTTCACTCACAGAGGACAGCGAAATATTGGCAGAATGGCAAGGACATAAGTCCAGACCAAAAGTTCTGCCCTGGCCTCCCAAAACAACTGGAGGCATTCTTCTCTGGAACCGCTGCCAGTGTAACGCACGATTGTCCACTGCAAGGCAGGCAAGGTCTAATTGCAAAGGCTGCAGCTGCCAGAGCTCCACTCGGATTGCCCCCACTGTCGCAGATAATCTAGTACCACGGCCAGCACACAAATCATACACCAATTGAACAGAATCACGCACCAAAGCAAAGCAACACTCTCCCGTACCAAGAATCGTACTTCTTCACTTGTCTTTGACCTGGTGAGCCGTGATTCAATCATGGATGCGGGTGCACAAAGTGCACTGATCTATCGGCATGACCCCACGTCGATCTTGAACTGGGTGCGGGCACATTGTACATCTGTCCTGGCATGCGTTGCGGTGAAAACACCAGAAGTCATTTTTTGTTATTGGCTTTCGCACACTCAGACCATAATCTTGTTATGCCGCTGTGTTCCACGACTCAACGAACAGAAGCGAAGCTTTAGATATCGAAAATGATGGATTCATAAGGTACCATTTTGCACCGGCATGGCTTTGTCTTTCTGATTTCACGTCTTAGCCCAAGCCTCTGTCAGGAGGTCCTTTCTTCTAACCTTAGCAGAAGGAACCCAATCTAGACAGCCGAATGTTATTGACCGTCTGGGATGGGTGGGCTAGGTGCGTGCCATGCGGGGTGGATTGGCGGGTTAGACCAGTTGTTTGTTGCGGCGGCTTGAGAACAGCTGGAAAGTTACCCCCTGCAAGTGTCACACACACACAAACGCACACACACACACACACATGTGTGTGTGTACATTCAGATCAATTTGGTTGGTGCAGGCTGTGCTGGTTTTGCTGTCCGGTGTTTCCATGTTGCAACCCTATCGCCAACTTGCGGTTTCGCCACGCCCCCTGAAATCTTGGAAAAGACGTCGGACTGGAGACTGGCGTCAACATTCCCGGAAACCAACGGAGCGAGTCAACAGCGGCAGCCTGAGTCGACGACACGTGGTTGAGATCCGACCAGTGGCAAAAAAACGGGCAGCAACAAAAGAGGGAATGTGGGGTCACGTCGTGAACAGTTGCCAAGGCAGTCTTTGGCAAGCTCAGACGTCACGCCATTGGAAAGTAGTGTGACATATGCATGTTGCCAGCCGATGAAACGGAACATATCGGCTTAGTTCGTAATTCTGCAGCCCTTATGTACCCTAGTCGCAAGTGTGGCAACGCATGCAAACGTCGGCTGGACTGATCGACAGCCTAAGGTCGTCCATGTCCGGAGGATGCCACGAGATTGCTTTGAGCAGAATGAAAAAGAGTAGCGCTCGGGCAAGGCATGCGCACCCAGAGGCAGCCACATGCCATTGTTTGAGCACCGCCTCCTCCATATGACAGCAGTCTTCTGCGTCAGGTCCCGGCCGATGAACGGTCAGAGCATGGCCCGACACAGGAGGCCTGACCGATCTGCGAGTGGCGTCGCCGTGAACTCTCCATAAACTTTGGCCCTATCTTTGACGGTATTGAATCGCTGGGCTGATGGCAACTGCAATTGTGTGCCCGTTTAGCGTGTCACGGAGGCGGGCACACCAGCAGCTTGGCAGCCCTTCACCTACACGGAGAAGGTGCACACGCAGAAGGAACCGAAGGAACGGTGGAATTTTGCATTGTGCGCCCAAACAGCGACCGCGCTCCGATAAATCCGAGAAACCCGCTAAACCCGATAGGTCCGATCAGACCGATATACTCGAGAAAACGGAAAGCCCATCAGGCCAAGGCTCCACCCTCGGAGTTCAAGGTTTGTAAGAGCTCTGATTTTGAAAACTCAGGGGCGCCCCATCAGTCCAAGGCTTTATTTCCGGAGTTCAAGGCTTGTAAGAGTTCTGATTGAAAAATCAGGGGTGCCCCATCAGTCCAAGGCTCCATCTTTGGAGTCCAAGCTTTGAAAGAATTCTGGGTTTTGAGATCAGGGGCACCCAATCAGTGCACTGCTCCACCCTGGAGTTCAAGGTTTGTAAGATTGCTGACACGGGCTCCCAAAAAGTTCAAGCTTTACCCTCGGAGTCCAAGCTGTTTTAAAAGTCAGGGGCGCCCTTTCAATCCAAGGCCCCATCCTCGGAATTCAAGGTTCGCAAGACTCGTAACTGTTCTGGGGGCGCCCCATCAGTCCATGGCTCCACCCTCGGAGTTCAAGGATCTGATTTAACAATCAGGGGCGCCCCGTGAGTGCAAGGCTCCACCCTCGGAGTTCAAGGCTGTGCTAAAAAAATCAGGGACGTCCCATCAGTCCAAGGCTCCATCCTCGGAGTTCAAGGTTCCCAAGAGTTCTGATTTTGAAATCAGGGGGGCCCCATCAGTCCAAGGCTCCACCCTCCAAGTTCAAGGTTTGTAAGAGCTCCGATTTAAAAGCCAGGGCGCCCCATCAGTCCACGGCTCTACCCTCGGAGTTCGAGGGATTCTTGAGTTATTTTAAGGTCAGCTGCGCACCACCAGTCCAAGGCTTTATCCCCGAAGTTCAAGGTTAAAGTAAGAATTCTGATTTAAAATCAGAGGCGCCCCATCAGTCTAAGGTATACATACTCGATCAATGTCGAAGCTGTCTCCGTTTCTCTTATAGTTTATGGATTATGAAAGGACTGCAGGAACTGCGGCCGGCGGAGGCCACAAGAAAGGGCCTTCAGGCAGTTTGCCCGTGAACTGCAAGCTGCACAAAGCTGCTCGGATTATATTCTTCAATGCAATGCGAGGCGGAAAAGTTTCAGCGCAATTCGACACAATCAGCGCAATTCCGCGCATTCAGCGCAATCGGCGCATTTCCAGTGCAATCGGGGCATTCGGCGCACGCAGCGCATGGCCATGATGTGGTCCCTGTGCCCGCGTGCATTGAAATTTTGGTGCAAACTGGGAAGTCTTCTTTGCCCCCTTGTGCCTATGTCATTACACAGCGAGTCTGCTTCGAAGTCTCCTTAAATTTTCCAGAAATGAGCATCAATGGCATGTCTCCGTGCGGAGGAATGGGGGTGCATCCCGAGTCACAGGGAGTCACAGGCTGCAAATGACCCGGTCGCGAGCGCGATGCAAGCAGCTGCACATGACAGTACAGACACGAGCCAAGTACGTGCCCTTTCGGCACAGCTCAATTAGCGCAGGAAAGCCACAGCAGAGAAGAAGCAGAACGAACGATACGATCGAGAACAATTCGATGATTATCTGTCAACAGATGGAGACCACAGATCTTGAAGGAGGTGACACAACATTCGGAGAGTCGCGTGGACAGCCTGAAAAGGATGTCTGCGCCTTGACAGATGAAGTACATAAGCTATAGAGGAAAGGAAGACCAAGCTTCTTGAGCCTGGAAACGAGCAGCCAGCTGCTAACAGGAGTAAGCAGAGCAAGCCGCCAGGAGGAAGGGGCCAACGGCCGCCAGACGGAGAAGAGTTCGCTCTGGTAGCCACATATGCTTGGATTGCTTGGCTTCTGAGCAACGTCATCGACACGCTCTTGCAGCCATGCGCACAGTCTAAAGGGCATACTTCCCATCGGTGCTCTATTCCGAGATCATCTGTTCCTTAAAGCCTTAAACTCGACCCACGTTGCCAATCTCTTATCCGCAGATATCGGCCTCACCTCGTAGTGAGAAGCACAATCGACCGTGCTACACAAGTGTACACAGAGGAAGCTTTGGACCTCTGTTACTGTTTTTGTTACTGTTGCAGTTCCTGTTACTGCAAGCTGTCTTTGCGCCGTTCTCAGATGTTGGGAACTTGAAAAGTCTTGAAGGTATTTCAATAGAAGCATGTCGCCAGGTCTGCAGTGCCTATGTCTGGAGACGGCGTCGGCTTGGCCTTTTGCAGGCCACGGTGCCGCCGTCCCTCTTAAGTTTTTCTGTCACAGAATGTTTCTTTCGGGCTAGCATGCTCACTGTCGCTGTCAGGAGGCCTTAGCCTGAAACCATCATGGAAAAGAGTTCACGACTCGTTCACGAAGTCATGAACACCTGCTGATACCTGCTGCACCCCCGTCACGAACAGGCGTCAGCTTCCTCTGCGCCGGGTGCATCCAGCACGTGACCTCGGTGCAGGCCGAAGTCAGTACCGAGTCCTGGCCAGCTGCATGTCACTCGATATCCATTGCCATAGCAGCTCCCGGCTCGAGGTGGTTTGTTTCAGCACCTCCATGGCCAGCATGGCTAGGATTCTTGGGCACCCCAAGCATCCCCGAGCAAGAAAATGTGGGGCATCAAGATGGAGAAAGGTA